TATCGATGATTCATGTGAGTCTACTCTCTCTTGCATTTTTTCAGAGGACCCAATCAGTTATTGCAACATTCTGTTATTGCTGTCCAGCATTCCCTTAAGTTCAGTGAACCCATCATCTTGTCTCACAATCTGTTGTTGTTAAGGATGTTGATAAGCCAGCTGTTGATTTTGCTGGTTGTAACCTTGTTGCCTTTGGTAAGGCACCACTTGACCCTATGGTCGCATAGCTCCAGGATTGTTGTTGTTAATGTACTGCTGTTGTGCTGGTCTATATTGTTTATTCTGTTGCCCCAATTCTTACCACCTTGCCTCTGTTCCCCATAGTTGTTCACATAATTCATATCTTCCTGATAGTGCTGGTTGTCACCTTCTGCACTCCACGAGCATGCATATGGTTGGTTAATGCATGGTGTACATAAGCCCCCATTAGTCGCATTAACTATGTGTACTTGCTACTTCTTGCATGATTCATCGATCTTCTGGGTGAGTATACTCATTTGTGTCATCAGAGTGGCCATATTTTCGGTTATAGAGTTATTTGGATCCAAAGCCATAGAGTGAACCACAGGAGTAATCGTAGAGTCTCTTGTCATCCATCCTGAGTTTTGAGCCATTTTATCGAGTAGGATCTTGCATTCTCTGAATGATTTGCTAAAAAATGCTCCACCCGCTCAAGCATCAACATTGGCCTTTAAGCTGTCTGTCAATCCCATGTAGAACCTCATTCCTCAACATTTGCTCTGGAATGCCATGATATGGACACTTAACCAGCATACCCTTGAACCTCTCCCACGTTTCTTGTAGTGTTTTTGTTGGTCTCTGCCTGAAGCTCAATATCTCATCAATTTGTTTGGCAGTCTTATTGGGTGGGTAGAACTTGTTTACAAATTGCTTGACTAATTCCTCCCAAGTAGTAATGGAGTTTATGGGGAGTGAATTAAGCCACGTCTGAGCCTCTCCCGTCACCGAAAATGGAAACAATAACAGCTTTATTGCTTCCAGTGTCACATTAGGTTGCCTTTGTGTGACACATATCGACAGAAAATTTTTTAGATGTTGCTGAGGATCTTCAATGTAAGATCCTGAAAACAGTCCCTTGTTCTACAACAAATGTAGCATATTATTTGTTATTTGAAATGATTTCGCTTGTATTTGAGGGACTGAAATTGCGGTTGTCAGATTTTCGGCGGTGGGTTGTGCCCAATCATACAAGGCTGCTTCTGGCATAAAAGGCGACACACCCTGATTGTTAGGGTCGTTCGCATTATTTCTGTTATTTGGATTTTCTATTACGTCATCTATGTCTAGTTCGATTCGTTCTGTTGAGTTCTATTGTTGTTTGTCCTTCTTGTTTGCACGATTCAATGCCTTGAAAACTTTTTCAGGATCTGATAAAGCTTCAAACAATTCACCAGTTTGCACGATTCAATGCCTTGAAAACCTTTTCAGGATCTGATAAAGCTTCAAACAATTCACCAGTTTTTGAGGAGTTCCTAGGCATGCACATGTAACACCCAAGACTACAAACGTTAAATTTTCAATGTATTTGGTTTAAAATGAAGAAAATTGACTAAACTAAGAATTCTAGCAATTCTTTTAGCTGCAATTAATACACTGTTAAATCCCCGGCAACGGTGCCAAAATTTGACCACACCCAACTATGCCTTATAAAATAAACTAATTGGTCGTTGAAAATATATTCAGGCTAATAAGTCCGGAGTTGAATCCCACAGGGAATTAACCTATCAAACACAGCTACTAGACTCGCACGAACTCACGCAATCAATCTTCAGAAATATTTAAGTGACAATTTGGATGTTTACTAACTAAATATTATGTAATGAAAGTGAAACAATTAATAACTAACTATTACGGGTTGTAGACAAGAATTGGAATGATCTAAGGTTGTAATTTCCCCTATTGTCAGAATCTTTTCCACTATGTTTTCTATAAATTTGCCTAAGCTTTCTCTATCAATCATGAGCACTCTGACTGTCATAACTCTCTCCCGAGTAATTACTATAATTTACTAGATATATTCTCCCGAATTACGCTAGCTAGCATTAATTACGGCTCACTCGGATCGCACCAAGGTTTCGTTATCCCTAATCTCACCTTTAAACCCTTCGTATTGATCCCTCATATACGTTAGGAGTAATATTGTTCAACAACTACCTAAATATGCACTCTCTACCGAGTAATACACACTAAATAGGCACAGTCGATTGAGGGCCCTTCAATCAACAACAATAATAATATAGTTGAACAAATAGAGAAAATACTACGGCAAATTTATATTAACGTAACAGGAAATCATCCTCCAATAGGTTCCATCAAAACCTTAGATTATGAGTTTAGCTACTCATACTCATAATCACAATATCCAAAGTATTTTGCATAATTAAATTACAAAGTAAGGATAAAGAGATGTAGAAATCGATGAGTCTAACTCCGAACGGTTGTTCCACGACCTATCCTTGCCTCCGGTTGCAAAAGTACTCAAAAGTGGCATTTTTTAGGTCTATTTATATGTGTAGGAAAAGACCTAAACGTGTAGGCGAAGTCCTAGTCAAACTCGGAGATGAAATAAGTCTTCAAAACTCGGATTGTGCACGCCTAGACCTGGCCTCACGAGGCATAACGCCTGGTGGACCTCGCCCCAGGCCTGACGTCGCTAGGTATAAGGCCTGCTCGATTTCGCCTACTGTCTCGCCTCGCCAGGTCTCTCGCTAGCTACAAGCCTGGTATCGCCAGGTATCTTTCCAGCTACAAGCCTGGCGTCGCCAGCTTTTCCTATTTAACTACTCCCGTGCACGGTTTCGACTTGTAAGTATTCTTTTTTCTCTACTTTTATCTCCAATTCAAATACACATAAAATAGACTCCGTTACGCACAATTAAATTGTAGTTTATCATTAAATCATATAAAATACAAGGCAAATAATGTACGAAACTATGGAATTATAGCCACACATCATTTTCAATGCTATAGACATCTGAGAAGCTCTTGCACAAGAAACAACTTAAGTGCAGCATACCATCAACCTCAATGCTCCTTCTCTTATGTCAGTCATTGTTTTTGCCAATTAGAGCTATTACACCTAGCCAGACTCACTCATGACACACAGACACAAGCTCGCAGCAGTAATTCTGGATCTTTGGAGTTGAATGCAATTTTGTAGTCAACATATCTTAACAGAGCTGTCCAACTTTGTGCACCTTTCTGGGCTTTTGCCAGTGCTATCTTCACTATGGCTTTCAGATATTCTGTCAAAGCCATCATGAAGATACATTTGATGTACCTTACACCCTCTCTACTATATTGTTGTATAACTGTATTTTGGTCATCGCACATAGGGAGCACTTATTTTCATTTGCATTTTAGGACCAATTGTAAAGGGAAGGAGTCCTTCCACCATAGGTCTATAGTTGATCGAACTTTGATTACACTTTATTTTTGTAAACCATTTTGATATATATAAAATGAACACTAAGCTCAATGCTTAGTGTAATTGCCAAAAACAAAAAAATAAAAAAACATAGTTAAGCACCAAGAATAGAATGAAAAGAGGAATCAAAGGAGAAATTGGAATATTCCATCCAGTTATCTTAACAGTTACCCACATGTGATTTAACTTTTCTTCCTTAATGCGATCCCACGATGATACTCCCAACGGACATATATTACGGCCACGAACTATTTTTCCCAAGTGCCTCAAAAATAGATTGCTATTCTTTCCAACTGTTCGGTTATTGTAAAATGCTACTTTTAGCTTCTCTCCAACTTCAAGTGATGCAACTTCTTTGCACTTATTACTTTCTCGAACCTTTTTTTACCTTTCCAGCAGTACATGAACCTACATTTGCTTAATTTATAAATGTTAGAAAATATTGTAAAAATGATAAACTTGTGATCAAATAGATTTAAGAAACCATACTTGTTTCAACTGTTTGGGTGGACTGCATAACTTGATCTATAGAAGGAGAAACTAGAATATCAGTTTGCATATTCTCCTTGTCATAAACCAAAGGATTTTTATTTATTGTTCGCAATCCTTGAGCGGCAGACATGCTAGAGTCTAATCATGTACTCTTAGAAGGTCTTGACATATTTTGACTAGCATAATGAGAATTCTGATGGAGGGATCGCTCCTAATTTTCAGACTCTTCAAATGAGCACATAGATCTAAGCTCTCACCCTCGTCCTTTCCCTAGAATACCTGGTGCAAAAAATCATATTACTAAAAATCTGGCATTAAATTAAATTCAATTCTAAAAAAAGAATACATTTGACAAACCATACTTGTTTCAGATTTTTGGGTGGACTGCATAACTTGATCAATAGAAGGAGAAAATAGAATATCAGTTTGCATATTCTCCCTGTCATGAACCAAAGGGTTTTAATTTATTGTTCGCAATCCTTGAGCGGCAGACATGGTAGAGTCTAATCTTGTACTCTTAGAAGGTCTTGACAGACTTTGACTAGCATAATGAAAATTTGGATGGAAGGATCGCTCTTCATTTTCAAACTCTTAAAATGAGCACATAGATCTAAGCTCTCGCCTTCCTTTCCCTAGAGCACCTAGTGCAAGAAATCATAATTCTAAAAAGTATGTTTATCATCTTATTAACTAAGAGCTTGTTGATTAGAATATAATGCAAATTAAAATATATCCTAATGGTCATGCGCAATCCAGTGTCATAGTAATCTATATGGGTTTGATATGCTAAATTATCTTGTGTTTAACAAACTGCAGTTTTCACAAGATAGACACTTAAAGAAGTTAAAGGTTCCTAATGACCAACTTTGATGATATTAATTCAACTGAAACTTAATGGAAAATTAGCTTTCAGGTATGAAGTTGTTTATAAGTGCTACATAAGCTGGGAAAGAGTCGTTGAATAAGGGGTACTTACACTCAATAAAGTGGGATCTACACTGGATATAGTAGCTAATATTGCAAATCAGAACTTACCAATTTTCAGTTATCATCAATTAAATTAAATTAAATTCTTAAAAATGAATAGATTTGATAAACCATACTTGTTTCAACTTTTTGGGTGGATTGCATAACTTGATTAACATAAGGAGAAAATGAAATATCAGTTTGCATATTCTCCTTGTCATGAACCAAAGGGTTTTTATTCACTATTCGCAATTCTTGAGCGGCAGACATGGTACTCTTAGAAGGTCTTGACATGCTTCGACAATTATAATGAGTATTTTGATGGAAGGATCGCTCTTCATTTTCAGATTCTTCAAGGGAGCACATAGATCTAAGCTCTTACCCTCGTCCCTTTTTCCTAGAGCACCTGGTGCAGGAAATCATATTAGTACAGGAAATCAAATCTAAATAATTACAAAATTGATTCTAAAAAAGAATAGATTTTAGAAACCGTACTTGCTGAATTTTTTTGGATGTATTGCATAACGTCATCAGTAGATGAAAAAGATGGAATATTAGTTTTCATATGCCCTTTCTCAAAAACCAATGGATTTTTATTCGTTGGTCCCATTCCAGACACCCCCAAAGAGCACATAGATCGAAGCCCTCGCCCTCGTCCCTTCGCTACAGCACATAGTATACGGAAATCATATTAGTAAAAAAATTAACACTAAAATTTAGGTGTACAAATTGATAACACAATATATTTGAAAAAACATACTCGTTTCAACAATTTGGTTGTACTGCATAACTTGATCAGTAGATGGAAAAAATGGAATATCTGTTCTAGATACCCCTAAAGAGCTCAGAGATTTAAGCCCTCTCCTTCGTCCCTTCCCTATAGCACCTGGTGCAACAAACGCATATTTGGTAGCAGCTTTCAAAGTGGATGCCACCTCATTTTCATTCTTTGATGGTTTCATATCAAACCTACAAAAAGAAATAAGACATTATAAAGGCAATATACCAACAAAAAAAAAATCATATAATCAGAATGCATAACAATATGAATATGCTAATGGCATAAAGAGATACTTCACCTCAGTCGGTTCTTTTCCGTTTATTTTGTATAGGATTTTCTAAATCTACAACATCACCATCCATTTGTTGAAAAATCTCATAAAAATCACGAGGTTGCGTCTTTCTTGCTACACACCAACCCTTGTTGGAATTATCATTAGCATAAAATAGTTGAGATGCTTGGTCCACTAATATAGAAGACTCATTTGTTTTCAAAAATCTCCCCCAATTAACACTTACAATACCATATTCATGTGTTTTAATTCCTTTCTTTTTATCATATGCATCAAACCACTTACATCGAAACAAAGTCACTCTTCTTCCAGTGAATTGCAATTCAAGAACATCAGTTAAAACTCCATAGTAATCAATATTCTCACTATGAGGCTCAAAACATTGACCTTATCAGAACATTACGAAGCTCAGCCTATATTCTCTTTGCCTTATTATTACTCACATTTGAGCCCCATTTGCTTGAAGGACAAAAAAAGCAGAATCTATTCCATGACTAAATGTTGGGATATGCTGAACCAAATTATAAATCATATTGCATTCTAAATACGAGAAACTAATACCTATTTTTGGTAAAATTTTAGTTCTGGGGTGCTTGACATTCTCTGATATCCGATGATTTTACGAGCAACCAAACAACCCCTCTTTTGTACAAATTTCTCCTCACACAATAAATATTACCCAATTTTAAATCCAATAATCTCACTTTTATCACTCACACAAGAAAGATCAGTATTCAAAACAACCAATTGCAGAAAACAACTAAAAAAACAAAAAATTGCAGAACCCTTTTTTCGATTTCTGATTCAATCGGAAAACAAAAGCACGAAGAAGAAAAACGAAACAGAACAGATTAAAGAGAAAGAAATTAAACTTACTCTTGTTTAGGCGGATAATCTAATGGTATAATTTGTGTAAAGTCTCTTGGAGAGATGAATTTTAGACACCAACCTTATGAGTTCTTTGCAACCTTCTGAGTTCTAATTTGACCTTATGAATTTTGACAAAGTTTAGCGGCCGCCTCTTAGAGATTTTAGCCTGAAAGTATTTTGGAGGAATTTTAGGGTGAAAGAGAATTTGGAGGAATTACCGTGAAATTTTTGAAGCTTTCCTTTTCTTTCTTTTTTACATTTAGTTTTCATCAGTTTCTCGCCCCTATCCAGCTAAAATCGAGTATTAGAGACCAGATATTAACTTTTGTATAGACTAGAATAAGTCTAGTCGTGTATTTAAAAGATAAAATTGCATTAAAGACCAAAAAAATTGTCATCCCTATAAGTACACTTTTAGGGACCATATTTAAAACTTGACGCTAAATGCTGGTCCCTAATAAGGCTTTTTCATGTAGTATTAACTATATCAAAAAACCAAGTTCAAAAGTCATCCAAGATTCTGCTGTGAACCAACCCAAACCCAAAGTTCTGTCGTGACCCAACCAATTTCTTCTCATCACGTCTCCCTCCCCCTCTATCTCTCATTGAGTTAGTAGTACAAAAGCATACGCTATCAACGAGAAAGCTTAACAGCCCCATTATTAAAGTGTGAAAGATGAGATTCTGAAGTTTGAAATTTAAAAAGTATTGTAAAATATAAGTGGGTATTGTTGCAATAGCTTAACAACATCTCTGAGAATAAAAATTTTGAGATAGATTTGCTGACTTTTAGATTGAAAACTCGAGTTTCAAGACTCCACATATGTATCCCCCGTGGTATTTCGTATTCCCATGTATATCAGTGTTATATCCATGAAAATCTATTTGTGATATACACTATATACAATGTGATATACATAAGCTTTTTGAAACCTCTCCAATTTAACTTAATTAATTTTTCCCCTCTAATATCTTTGGAGAATAGGGATAACAAAATTTAAGGGGTCGTTTGGTTGGGAAACAAGCTATCACATGATTAATTATTCTGGGATTAGTTATTTTACCTTCCCATAGGGATAAAAAAAATACTACAATCCTAGAATAACTAATCTCGGAATTAGTTATACCACGATTTTATCTAAATCAAATATGGGATAAACACATCTCGAATTTGATCCCGGAATTAATTATCCGTTATCCCTTATCCCTTATCCCTCGTACCAAACGAGATCTAAGAGTGTAATATTAATTCTTGACCTGCTAATGACAATTAGAGCTGTCAAAACGGGCCAGACCAACCCAATCCTCATGGACTTTTCATTTTTGTGGGCTAGAACGGCCCGACCCGCCACATGGATGGGCCTTAAAATAGCCAGCCCAACCCATCCCTAAGAGGGTCGCGGGTTAGGGCGGGCCGGGCCTTCAATTTTTTTAGAAAAAAGAATTTCTTTAAATCGTTAAATATATTTTCGTGACATTGTCGATTAATCATGTAAGCAACTTCTATTTGCTTAGAGCGTACAAAAAGCTTGATAATTGACGAGGAATCTCGTAATTGAAATGCAAATTCTCTATATCTCTAGCTCTTCCTTTTTAAAGTTGCATGAATATTTTCTTAATACTTTTCTTTCATTTTCCTCAGATTCAGGGATTGTTTCAATAAGTTTATATGCTGAGATTTTTTAATTTAGGATTAACATCATTTACTGATTTTATCATTATAGTCCATACAATTTTTAAAATTCCCGAAATTTGCTAGTGGTCAATTGTTTTTTGTGTGTATTTAAAATTGATCTTTTTCTATACTGAAGAGCTGTTTAAATATTAATAATATATTAAAGTAATCCAAACTGATAATTGGCCACTTAAAGTGATATTTTCTTTTGATAAAAGATTATTATTAGCCACCTAAAACTTTTCGACTTCATTATTAATTAAGCAAAAGAAAAACTAATTTTGTCATATTACATGCATGTCAAAAATCTAAATTCTATTTGATATGTAAGGGTAAATGAGCAATCAAGGGTTGGGGAATGGGGATTATAGTTAATAGTTTTTTTAGTTTTTAACTTTTTAAAATATTTAATAGTTAAATAATTTTTGGCCCACGGGCCGGCCAGACCCAGCCTCGATCAAGCCTCAAGGGTCAGCGGGCTGACTTGGGCCGGACCTATGAGCCTCGGTTTTAAATGGGCTTAAAAAATTCTAGCTCAGCCCTACCCAAGTAGTGGATTGAATTGGGCTGGCTTCACGGGTTAAGCCCATTTTGACGGCTCTAATGACAATACTTCCGATTTTGTCTGATTTTGCAATCATAGAATTTATTGGTGAACTTCATTGGTTATTTTTGAAATAGTTGTAATACCAACTTTCCACTTATAGGTAGCTAAAAAATTTAACATTTAATATTAATGTTAGGCGGATAGGATCCTATAATTAAGTGCAATTCGACTATGCAAGATATGATTTGTAGGTAACACGAAAACTATTAGTGTTAATTAAGAGAGCCTTTTGTTCTATTTAAATAATGATATGCTAATTAAATTGCAAAGAAATGAATGGAACTAAAGAACCATTTAAATACTGGTCAAGACTTTTAACAGCAAAAAGGATTCATTTGGTTGGTTCCATGTCCAAATAGCCGTATAGCCTGATCATGATTAGTGGTCGCAAAATGAATAAATAAAACAGTTATCCACTTACATTATCTACTAAAAAATAAGTTGAATAATGAACTTTTTAAAATTTGGGTCAAATATGAATAAAATCCATATTATCCACTTAAAACAGGGATAATCAATGAGTTTAACTTTTAAAACTGACTCAAATTGGGGGGTCCTCAAGTTTGGGAATTGAGAGGCTAGGAATACTCCAAAAAATAATCATATTCAAGAAAATATAAATAATATGGATATTCATATTATCCGCCAGCTACGCATTTTCTATCTGTATTGAATATGGGTTGGGTCAGAATATTTTTTCGTTTTTATATTACCTGTTTTCGATCAACCCATATCTGACCCGACCCGAGCCGCTTGTTTGCCACCCCTAATCATGATCAAGAAAGAACAAGCCGTAAAAGGATTAAAAAGATTAAAATCATTTTTCATGTAAAATATTTTTATTAAAAGTATTATTTAAAAATAACTTTTGAGTATTGAAAGTATTATTTTATTAAAAGTATTATTTTAAGAATAGTTTTTTGAAAAATATGTATTAAAGATTAATAATATTCTTAGCAAATCAAGGAGTGCTTAGGTGAAATCTTTAACTAATAAATATTAATATAAAGCTTAAGTGTTAGAGCAAGTAATATGAAGTTAACAGTTAGAATAACGGTAAGAAATATGAATTCCGTCTATAATTAAGAAAAGAATAAATCTTTTAACAACCAGACACCATAAATTATTTATATGTTGGATTGTTCTAATAGATTACTATAAGTCAATCACTTAATCACTTTTGACATTGTTCTAATAGATTACTATAAAACACAAAAAAAAGGACAATATTTCATTCATTAAAAGTCTCAAAACAAACTAATCAAAAATATTTTCGGGTGCTCATGGTATATTCAACACCAACAAATCATCTATATATTTTATATTTTTAACTAAATATGTTTATTATGCCCACGGGCTGGCGCAACCCAGCCTCGATCAAGCTTCATGGGCCACGAGCTTACTTTGGCCCATGAAGTTACAACTACTCTATCTAAAGGTAGCTAATAAATAGTAAATGAGACAATAATAAAAAGAACATAAGAAATTAACGAGGTTCGGCAAAATTTAATTTTTGCCTAGTTTTCGGACACAATCAACTCAAATTTTATTTCACTCCAAAAAATACAAATGAAATACTACAAGAGAGAAGAAGATTCAAATGCCTTAGGAGATAAGAAGGCAAGTGAGAGATGTTTTATAATGAACAAAACCCTTGCTATTTATAAAAGGGAAATGACCTTAATAATGTCATGCATTACATCATATTAAGTGTGATCATGCAATTTAATGCATGAAAAATACATCTACCAATTTTTTCCAAAAAAGGCTTCAAATGTTCACACTAGTTCACATTAATCTTGTAAAATCCAACAAATCTCCACCTTGGCAAGATTCCACTTTTTCAATTTTCTCTCACTGTTAAATTTTGATTGTGTTTTCAACTTCAATCTTCAAAGTTCAACAATGTTGATCAAGTTCAAACAATGTTGAAACTTGATCGCAGTCACTACTTTTGTTAGCATATCAGCAGGGTTGTCTGTAGTCCTAATTTTCTGTACCGTGACTCCACCTTCTTCTATAATATCTCGTACAAAGTGATATCGAACATCAATGTGCTTCGTCCTTGCATGATAAACTTGGTTCTTTGCTAATTGGATAGCACTCTGACTATCACAAAATAGTGTGATGCTTTCTTAACCAATACCAAGCTCTCTAAGCAACCCTTGAAGCCAAATTGCCTCCTTTACAGCCTCCGTAATTGCCATGTACTCTGCCTCAGTAGTAGACAAAGCAATCGTTGATTGCAAATTAAAGTAGACTTCCAAGCACATTGTGCATTTACAAAAGTGAAAATATAACCAATAGTTGATCTACGATTGTCCAAATCACCCGCATAATCCGAGTCACAATATCCAACCAGATACTGGCTATCTTCCTGTTCAAAAATTAATCCAACATCTATAGTATTACGAATATACCGTAGAATCCATTTCACAGCTTGCCAATACTCCCTTCCTGGGTCATGCATATACCTGCTTACAACTCCGATAGCATGTGAAATATCAGGTCTTGTGCAAACCATTGCATACATCAAGCTACCAACGGTATTCGCATATGGCACTCTTGACATATATTCTCGTTCAACTTTATTCTTCGGCGACATAGCAACATTAAGCTTAAAGTGATGAGCAGGAGGAGTGCTAACCGACTTCGTATTCTCATTCGTGCCAAATCGATATATTACTCTCTTCAAGTATTCTTTTTGAGATAGATAAAGTTTCTTTGAATGTCTATCTCTTTTTATCTGCATGCCAAGAATTTTCTTCGCCTCACCCAAATCCTTCATCTCAAACTCCTTTCTTAGTTGAATCTTCAAATTCTCAATTTCCTCTTGACTTTTGGAAGCTATCAATATATCATCAATGTATAAGAGAAGAAATATGAAAGATCCGTCTTCAAGCTTGCGCAAATACACACAATGATTGTATTTGCTTCTTTTGTACTTCTGCCGTAACATAAATTTGTCAAATCGTTTATACCATTGTCTAGAAGATTGTTTCAATCCGTATAATGATTTTTCAAGTT